TTGGCTCACAATTTGAAGGCTTGACAGTGCAAAGTTGAAAATTTGAATCTGGTGAGGTCTGTCTTGCTTTGCTGGTAGGGACTGTCCATGGAGTCCTGGAGGGCATCACTTGGCAAGGGGGATGTAGGCAAAGCCAAACTTCCATAGCAGGTGAAGTCTCAAAGACTGTATTTCCTATCAATCCATGAATTGTACAGATTGGGGCAGATGAGGGCAGAGCCTAAGTGCCTCTTAAAAGCCCCACTTGTTCCAATCTCTTTTTTTCGGGGGCTCCCACCCTTTTAATACCAATGTGAATTAAATTAAATAACCCAAGCGAAGACTCGGCGGCAGACATCTCCACGTTGGCAGGAGAGGGCAAATGGCACTATGCACATGCTCAGACCTTGGTGGGAGCAAAGAGCAGCCTAGATCACGGCACTTAGGAGGCAGGGGAGGATGGAGCTCTGTGAGTTCCAAGCCATCCAGGGTGACACAATGAGACTTTGTCTCGCCAAAAAAATAATGAGAGGGAAAACGAAAGAAAGATGTGGGGCAGGGGTGGGGTGGGGAGCAAGAAGTCAGAGCTCCAGGAAATGGAACCTAAAGGTCTGTGTCCAGGACTCCACTTGTCTCCTGGCTCTGTAGATGGAGGCTTCCTTCTTGTTCCCCTCTGGAAAGGGAGCTCCTGCCAAGAGGCTCTGGTTCCTTGAGTCTGCTCACGATGCCTAACCCAACCTGTAGTTGGAGTTTGCTACATTATGGGTTCCTTTTTCTCTCTCCCATCCTTCTCCTTATTAATGCCCTAACTCTAGGTAGGAGAGAAAAAAGGTGGAGGGGAAAGGGGGTGTTGTTATCATTATACGACTTTCTGCTGATTAGGAGAGTCGACTTTCTTGGGGCAAGTTTGATCTTCACCGTCAGAATATCAAATTTCTTCTTCTAGTCTCTTCGCTTGTGACCACTAGCAAACCACAACAACAGCAACCAACAACCAGCAACTAGAAACAGCAGCAGCAATTTAAGAGGAGGAGCAACAGCTCCTCAGGGCTCTCACATTCATTTACTTTCTCAAGGCTCCCCAGAATTTCAAATGTCACACACTTGCAGAAACTATCTGCAGCTGGCAAAATCACACTCCTGCTAGAGCACGAGGCAAATCATAGTCAGCTGCCGTGGACAATCTGAAGAAGTCCCATATCCCACACCTGAGATTAAAACAAAAACACATTCTTATAACATTTCTGTGTTTTCAAAGAAACCAAAAAATTTCACCACACCAGTCAGTTCAAGAGCCACCATTAAGAGGACCACCTTCTAAAACAGTGCCATCAGCTGGGGACTAAGTGTTCACATGCAGAGGGCCTCTGAGGGGACATCTCACTTTCAAGCTGCAACACTTTCCAAGGCTTTTCTGGGTGGAGCCTCCCAACAAGGCTTTATCTGCCTGCACTGACTTGACTAGACTGGGACGGGGGAATCTCCTTAATTGATGGTGGCTCCTGAACTCATCAGGTTAAACGTTATGGGCAGACTCAGTGAACCACAGCCTCTTGACAGGAGCTCCATTCCCAGAGAGGAAAGAGAAGCCTCCATCGGCCGAGCCAGGACACAAGTGAATGGAGCCAGGTTCAATGCTGGGAAGACACTGTCTGTGCTGGACAGTCCCTAGGAGCCTGACAGGGCTTTCACAGCTGACTTTCTTGTGGAGTTTCCCCCTGGTGCTTGCTGTGTGTGACATTCACCCCTTCCTAAACTTCCCTGTTGAGAGTTCTGTTTGGGCAGTAGCACATCCCTGATCCAGATAGTCTAAAACAGTGGATGTCATGAAAATGTTATACTTCCCTAGATATATCACGGTCTTCCTTATTTATACTTAAGAAAATGTTATTTATATTTTAAAGTGTGTGTGTGTGTGTGTGTGTGTGTGTGTTAAAAGCCATGGTATGCATGTGGGGATCAGAGGAACTTTTGAGAGTTCTCTCCTCCCATCACCTGAGTTCCAGAGACTAAGCTTAAGTCATGAGGGATTGCTGGATTGATGGGTAATAGGCTATTGTGAGAGCACATCTGCTAAATAAATTTGTCTCTGACGCTTGTATTCATCCTTTTTGCTATGTAATACCCTGTACCACTCTGGAAATCTACAAATAGTCTCCATCAGTAAGAAAAACCTTGATAGAGGCAGTCCTTCAGCCTCAAGAAGAACCTTCAAGCCTCAGAAACCGAACACAGAACCATTATCATTTAGAAGCTACTCACTCTCAGGCATTCAGTTACGATAACAGAAAACAGAGCTAAGTATCTAAGTATTTTTCATTGGTGGGGAAAAATGGGAGAGCCAGCTTAAAAGCAACCATCGAGTGCAGGCTGCATTTACAGCAAGGGTAGAAGGGTGAGCTGGGTTTTCCTCATCTGCCTGGCAGTTAGGGGAGTTATCAGTGGGGCAGGGTTGGGGGGAGGCTTCTGTTGTGTGTTGAACTGGTTCTGAAAGTGAGACCTTGCCTTTGTCTCTTACTGGCTTTCTGGAAGCAGCCATGTCCGGGTGTCCAGTGGATGTTGTTTTGACTCTGAAGTATCTTTTTTAAATTTCCAATGAAGGGTTTCTGGAAGGTGCTGAGAAGTCGGAGGCGGCAATGGGTGAACTGCCATAGGCCATGCGTATCTGCATCTAATTTGATTTGACTTGTTTACCTGGTCACAAGAACTCAGGGCCAGGAATAAAAAAAAAGAAAAGAAAAGAAAAAACAGGGGCAGAGGTGAGAGAGAGCTCCCTGAGTCTGGTGTGCTGGCTCTCTCTACCCACAGGGCTCACTCTCAGCCACAGGGAGCAGGGAAGGGAGTATATCCAAGATCAGGTCAGGGTTTGCGCACCATGGGAGCTCAGCTTTGTTTATACTTCCCCCTCCATCCCCTCCACCCCCGCATCCCCCGAAAAACCTTCCCCTGAAACTGCCATCATCAGGCATTTATTAAGCTTGATTTGACTGGGGCCAGTTCTCCTGGTTGGCTAAAATTGGCTTGAAAAATAGAGTAATTTGTGGTTGTCAGATCCTAAATTAAATGACTCGAATACTACCGTGGCTGATTAAAGGACTTTATTCAATTTCCCCTTGACCACATGTCCTTCTGTGAGGGCAGGAGAAACACTGTTTTTAGAAGAAATACCGGATTAAGAGGCTGCTTATCTGATCTGTGGGTAGCATTCATTAAGTAAGGTCCTCCCCTTTGTTCCTCAATGAAAGGTGAAACCAAAGAGGGAGGAGGAAATGGTTATTGTTTAACTGTGTATAACTCTTCCATCAACCTTTTGTGTGGACATGGCCTCAGGGCACCGGGCTGGGTATCTAAGAGAAGTTAAGGACCCAAGAGGGTATCTAGGCAACAGTAACAAAGGTCAGCAAATAAAAGGCAAGAGTGAGTCAATGAGAGGGAAGCGAATCTGGAGTTGTGTCGGATGCCCGCATCAACCTCAGCAATTGCAGAGGGACAGTCTGATGCCAACCATGTCAATGCCCTCTCTCCCTTCTTGGGGACCAGGGCCCAAGGGAGCCAATCCAGAGATAAATGATATGTTCTAGCAAACAAGGGGAGCTGGCTTAGAACAGTGAGGACCTCCAGAGACCAGGCGCCTAAGCAGCTGCTGCAGAAAGGTCAGAGGTCACAAGATGTTTAGATTAGCAGTGTGCTGAGTGGCAAGAAGCAGAAACTTCCAGACTACAAGTAGTGGGGTGAGGTGGGACAAAGGCTTGTTGTCTGGGAGAGAATAAACATGCAGGCACAAGCTTGAGAGCACACACACACACACACACACACACACAGTGGAGGAGGGAAAGGGAGAGAACTTGGGGTTCTAGGATTACCACGGTAACCTATTGGCCCCAGATAGCCCTCACCCTGGCCGGCCTTCTGTTCCAGGTTATGCATAGCCCAGGCTCATCCAGCAGACAGGCACACTCCTGTCTAAGGCGGCCTAAGCGGGAAATGGAGGAGGCCAGCAGAACACAGAATCAAGACACCTGCCAGCATTAAATGCAGGAAGAGTCCCATGCTCAGCTGTTTTCAGAGAGTGGTTTACCTAGTCTCAAAGGAACCTGATGAGACCAAAAGAATGGATGAAGCGAATGGCCTTTTGGGAGTGGCTCATACTTGGGGAGAATCAGGCTCACCCCTTGACCTTTCTCTCCCCTTGTTTGTGTCTCTTGAGAGAAAGAAAGACACACAGACCTGAGGTCATCAGTTCTTGACCTGGGGGTTGCAACCTCTCTGGGGTCCAACAGCCCTTTCCCAGGGGTGGTGTAAGACCATCTGAAAACACAGATATTCACATTCCGATTCATAACAGCCCCCAAATTACAGTTATGAAGTAGCAGTAAAAATAATTTTATGGTTGGGGGGTTACCACAACATGAGGAACTGTATTAAACTGTCCTTAGGAAGGTTGAGAACCCCTTCCTTAGGCTGAGGCCAGGCTGTTTTACTCAGGGCCAACACACTACGAGCTCTCTTCAAATTCCGAGCTCCTTCAAGAGCTATCAAGATAGCAAGCCGCTGAATGGCTGTGAAGAAGGGACAAGTGCAAGAGCACGCAGAATCTTGCTTGGCCCAAGGCTATATGAAGGATGAACTCATCCTTCTGGACTCCCTCAGCTTATTGAATGAATGGCTTTAATTTACACTTTGTATTTTTTGTATGTTGAGAGTTGCCTCAGATAAGGGTATAAGACTCTAGTTCTCACTGCCAGATCACGTACTAGCTCTGACGCTTACTGTGTGGCCACCAACAGGTCAGTTAGCCTGTGGGTGTCTCCTTTATTATCTACAGGCTCAGAAGGCCCAGCCCCTCCCCCCACGGTGTTGTGAGATTAAAAGGAGTTGAGGCTTCTAGGGCTTGCGACAGATCCTGCCTACGAAAACATCAGCTTGAAGTTTTATTGGGCATTTGTATTTCATGTCAAACGTTTCTGTTCTGTCCTTGCCCATTTTTATGGAGGTCATTTTTCTAGTTGCTCGGCAGGAATTACTGCCATGGCCCTCCCAGATCAAGGTGGTTCTCTGGTTGTGGTCCTCACAGCCTCCAGGGGGCGCCCAGGGCGCGTGCTGACCGCAATGTACCAGCCTGTAAGGAGCTGAGCAGAGAAGACTGGATCCACTTAGTTCACCTGACTGACTGGCTCCTCTGTCCTAATTTTGCACCTTTACCTACCTAAGCATAGCGAGCGAAAGAGGAGCCAGGGCTGCTGGACGCTTGTATGAGGTGCATCACTTTCTAAATTGATCTCTGCTTTGTCCCACATTTGTTTGAGACCTTGGGCTTCCAAAATAATGCTGGATCTTTTGTCAGGGTAAGTTTTTTTCTCTCTTAAACCTTGCTAACCTGAAACAAGAGTGCATTCCAAGGGACACCTCCTTCCGGTGGTCCGCTGTGGGGACATGGGAAATGATGGGATAAATAATACCCTGATTGTGTGTTTGGCTTTTTGAGACAAGGTTTCTGTGTGTAGCCTTGGCTGTTCTGGACTCGCTTTGTAGACCATGCTGGCTTCGACCCGTCTGCTTCTGCCGCCCGAGTTCTGGGATTACAGACCTGCACCAAAGCGCTCATCTGTTTTTGTGTATAAACCAATGTCCTGTGTCTCACTGGGACCCTAGGAACTCGGGTCTGATATTTGGAAATAAAGAGAGCTGGCGTCAGGACTCTCACTGGGTCAGCTAGTGGCGGGGGGTAGGCCTTAGATGGTAACATTGGAAGTGAGGAATGGAAGAGGGGGAGACACTGAGGGGGAGACGCATGGGCTGCCATGGAGTCCGAGATAAAAAAACGCAGGAACCACAAAAAACTGAGCTGTAGACCAGAGATTTGGTATGGTAGAAATGTCACCCTAGTGGCCATGACCAAACCAGATCAAGTCTGGATGTGGCAGGGAATGGAGAGGATTATGACGAGGATGACTCGCAGCAACAGGTACTCAAGATAAAGGCAAGCAAAGGCCTGGAGGTAAGGACTACCGAGGAAGAACAGTGTGCAAGAACCCCAAAAGTTGCTTGCATAATGTTCTAAAGCAGAGAACGGTGGGAAAGGGAGTTGGAGAATGAGAAGCCTCCCCGAGACTGTGTGGAAGCTGTGGTCAAGCAGGAGACAGCTTCAGGGGATGGCAGGTGACACTGAGGATGAGTCCATGACAGAGGGCCCCCGTTTTCCAGGATTGCAGGGAGCGGGACAATGTGAGATGTCGGTGAGTACAAGGGCCAGATGAGGAGATGAGGGCTGGTGTAGGTGCTGGTTTTTCAAATGCTGCTTTATTTGGGGGTTCCTTAAAGAATTTAAGGAGCTTTTAACTTCCTTCCAACCCAACCCCAGGTAGGGGAAAAAAGAAGATTGTAAGGGAGAGGAGACGTAGCCCTCGTTACTTCTTCCTGCTGGGTAGGGTTGTAGGATCTTTTTGGGGGCAAAACCAATATGTGTTGTCAGGAAATCCAGAAGTCCAGGTAACCAGCAAACGGCCAACGCAGCAACAGAACGAACCACCAGCGAGCAGAACTCCTCCAAGCTGCTGGACTTTTTTACCCTCTGGCCTATCCTATTTATACCTCTCAAAGTCCTCAGACCTCAACTAATCCCAGCTAGCAAAGACTATGCTCTGCCAGAGACAGTTAGCAGGTGTGGGCAAACTAAAATCCCCCCACTTGGGAGTATAACAAAAACATGCTTACATATCATAAACCAAAATGTCCGAACAGGCCAGAGGCTGGGCAGCTCCTCTGAGCATCACATGGGCCACCAGACATGGGTAGGGCAGCATGGTGGCTCCCCGGGGCTCCCTAGTTACCAGCCTCTGTTGGGGAGGACCCATCTCCTCAAAGGACTCCCCTTCACCAGGACAGGCGCTTAGAGCCAGTCACGGTTCTGACTGCATACAAGAAGCCTCCGTGTGAGAACACTCCCGGAAGCACCGAGCGCTATAAAGACCTACTTCTTGGCGTGTGGATCCCATTAGAGGGAACGTTTTATCACAATGGAGGCATAAGTAGGTTGTTTGATGGTAATTGCTTTCCTAACCCTCAAAGAAAAATGCATTGCAAACCCACCACAATTAACTAAAGTGGTCACGTTCTTTTTTTTTTTTTATTTAAAGCTATTTAGAAATATTAGCAACTGGCTTGGTTTCCAGGTGGTTGTGGTATTGGGTTTTTTTTTTTCTTCTTCGACTGAAACTTTTTTTTTTTAATCCCATAAAATACTGCAAGTGTTCGAGGAGGGAGGAATGGAAAGATGTTTGCATTTTCAGTTCAGCAGCCAACCAACTTTAAAAAAAAAAAGTTTCAGTCGAAGAAGAAGAAAAAAGGGCTTCTTTTTTTCTCCCATGGATGAAGTCTAACATTCAAGAGTCCCTCCAGGGCTGAGGAGATGGCTTTCTTAATAGAGTGCCCTCTATGCAAACATGAGGAAGCGAGTTCGGTCCTTTAGAACCCACGTAAAAACCATGCCCTCACTGGAACTCAGAGACAGAGACAAAAGGACCCCTGAGGCCTGCTGGCCAATAGTCAAGCTGAATGGATGAGCTCCAAATTCAGTGAGAGACCTGTCTGAAGGTAGGAACAAAAACAGAAGGTGGAGAACACTTGAACACACACACACAGTCCCCCCAGGGGTGCCCTGTGACCTCTCTGACGTTCCCCCTAAGGATTCAGTGGTCAGATAGGCATGTGAGGTGCTGTTCCCTCTGCCTCCACACGCCTTCGAGAGGAACAAGGCACACCTTCCGTTAATATGCTCTCCCTCCCCCTGTCTCCCCTGCTGCTCTCTCCGCTGCGTGCACGTTTCCAGAAGAATATGAAGAAAATTATTCTCCCTGCATAATTACCCGCCTCCTCCCTCACCCACCTACGCACATCTCTTAATGTGGCAGCTTCTCTGATTTCTTTAAGTGGACTCTACAATGCATTCAGCGGGCAGGTGAATTAATTAAGGGGGCCTCCAGCCGTGAGAACTCTGGTCGCTCTTCCTCTCTCCAGACCTTCTTCTTCTCTGTCCACTTAGCATTCACACTTCCCATTGTGGCTGAGCTGGAGGTACAAGGCTGTTTCCCTTGCACAGCTATCTATCTGCTTCCTCCTTCCTGTGGACTCAGGTTGCCCTAGCATACAAGCCATAAGAAAGTTCCTTTTTAGTGAGATCATTTAGCATTTTCTTCACTAGAACTCAGAAGAACAGCCAAAGAACTACAAACAAGCAAATGGATCGACTCATGTAATCAAAGAGCCTAGAGGGAGTTGAGGGTCCCTGCCAAGGGTCAGGCAGGACAAGCTTCGCTGCTCTGGAATTCTCCCTGGCTGCCTGCCTCTGGCTATGAGCTTCCTGTTGAGCCTGACTGTGTTCAGTAGAGTGAGGAGGGCTTAAAGTGGTCTGGACCCAGCCTTACACTCTGGCCATCAGAAGATGCAGCAGGTCTTGCTCTAGGTGGTTTTTTAGGGATGATTCAGGGAACTGCTTCCCAAGGGGCCCATCGGAAGTCCCTTCTGGTCTGACTGGGACTGATCTATCCCTTACCTATGGTTGTGGCCAGGTGGATGGGACCTGCTGGCGGCCATCGGTCAACGAAGGCCTTTCCGGAAGCGGGGGAAGAGCGGGAAGTCTCTGTACTTGCGTGAAGGAGTAGTGGACACCCACATACACTATAGAAGAGAAGCAGAAGTTGATGCCCAACGACCCACAACAGTGACTATCCTGTAGGAACTTGCAGCCTTTTTCTTCACAGTCCAAGAAGCCAAGCTCCACCTCTTTCTCGGGGCTTTTTGCCCTGTGCAGTCGCCCTCAGCATCTTGAGTATGGCTGACCACCTGTGCGTCCCCCAGCATGGGTAAAAAGAAAGAATGAGAGGTAGGGAAATGGGAATGTCAAGTTGGGAGGCTAGACAGGGAGTGCTGGCATCAATGGAGCCAGCTGAACAAAGGGACCATTTGCTGGAGGGACACCCATCTTCCACAAACCTGTCTTCTGAGGTCAGTAGAGAAAGGTAGACTTTTATCCATAAAACTATGGATGCTTGTCAGGTCAGTGACTTTAAGGACAAGTCAATGAAACCCTGGGAGTATTAGTGAGGCAGAATGGGTACGGCAGAGGCCACAGTCAGTCTAAACAGAGCTAGCCCCCGCCCCCCAGTGGCACACTTAGTATATTATGTCACCACAAATCCAGAACAAAAACAGTGGAACGCTACTATCAGAAGTAAGAGCACACCGGGGTGATGGCTCGTTGATAAAATTCTTGATGCCAAGCCTGATGATGTGTGTTTGACTCCCAGGACCCACATGATGGAAGGAGAGAACTGTTTCCTGCCTGTTGTCCTCTGACTTCCACAAATGTGCGTGGCACATGTGTATGAACACATACAAACGGTGGCGCACGCCTGTAATCCCAGCACTCGAGGAGGTAGAGGCAGGCAGATCTCTGTGAGTTTGAGGCCAGGCTGGACTACAAAGCGAGTCCAGGACACAGAGAAACCCTATCTCCAAAAACCAAACCAACCAACCAACCAAATACAAGCAAATAAAAACAAATTACTAATACTAATACTAACAATGGAATAAAAGGAGAGAACCCTCTCTCAGCCACCTTCAACAGCTCTGCCAACCTCTCTGCTGCCAGAATGAGCCCCAGGTGCTTTTCAGAGCCCTGAGATATGCCAGAGAGTTTTCTCTTACAAATGATTTGTGACAAATCCATCCAAACTTGCATGTTTCCCTCTTGTAAGAGAAGACTGAGAGGAAAGAGTCCCTCCCACGTTTCCTTGTGAAGGAGTTGGCAGCTTGGACACAGTGTTCTTTTTCCTTGAGGACTCCTTTTAGTAAGAGGAACACACTTCTTTCCCCTCTTTACTAGAAAAAAAAAAAGGCTGCTGTTCTAATTTTTTGAAAGCTGATATGCCATCCTGTTTTAATCAGTATGCTTAGCTCCAGGGGCAGAGACTCCTGGCCACATCTGGCCAGGGTTAGCACACCATCCAAGCTACCTGTCCAGCAATGTCTAAGACTATGTTGGGGGCTCGCCTGTGAGGCACAGACATTTTCCAGATTCCTGGGCATTCTCTTACAAATTACTTGCCTCTGTCTTGGTACCCCAAGGTGACTACTGAACTGAGCACTCTACCAGAGCCCCTTTCCGGAGGAATTCTCTCATTTTAGAGCTAAGAGAGGAGATGTGAAAAAGTTGATTGACAGACAAATGTCAGGGCCTCTGAAAGTCATCACCTTAGGCTAGGCTTGATGGTACATGTCTGTTATTTTAGCCCAAAGGAGGCTGGGGCAGGAGGATCACAAGATAAAGGCCAGTCCAGGCTCCAGAGAGAGATTGAATATGACTATGAGCCAGACAATGTCCTAACACAGGGTGAAACTGTCCCAGGTCTGACAGTGAAGGCCAAATCAGAAAGAGCTGATCACTCTTTCCCTATATCTCTGTATAAACATCCCCAGAGAGAAAAGCCATCTCTTCCTCTCCCTGGCTAGCCTCATGCTGACGCCGTCGTTAATCACTTCCAAGACACTTGGAACCTAAGGGAACCATTCAGGGACACCTTCCCTACAGTCGTAAGTATCTGATGTAATACCTGTGTTTATAAATAATCTGAGAAGTCCACATCCAAAGGTCTGGGCACTCTACAGTGCACTGTCTGTCAGCCAGTGGAACTAGCTGCTGGCAGTTAGATGGGGTGTAGGGAAAGGCCAGTGAGTTTCTGGGAGTTACAGGACAGAGAAATGCCCTGGAACAACTCCACATGCCGTGCTAATTACAGCCTGCAGGTAGGGGCACATGAATGATGGGACTGATTACCTCAAGGGCTTTTAGACCCCAAACCTTATTTTCTACTCGTACCTAGATACACTGAAAATATGAATGTTGGGGCTGGGGTTGTGTAAAGAAGGATTAAAACCTTCCAGAGAAAAGCTTCTTTATGGCAATAACCCACCCCTTCTCTAAGACATGTTAATGACCATGGCTGTCATAACCACATGCAGACAAAAGGACAGCAACCATCTTAGCTCCCACTCCATACTCTGATGTGAAGATTTCCTAAGCTATCTGGTGGTGTGGGTGTGGGTGAGCCAGCCCAAGGGCATGGGAGTGGGAGAGCAGGCCCTGTTCCTTGCAGGCTGCAGCATTGCGTGAGCTAGTGGGGGCAGGGCTGGAGAGCTCACCACGGTGAGAGAGCTGGCAGGCTGACTGACCAGCTCAGCTACCTCCCAAACTCAGATCCAGGGCTTTGGGTTGGCCCACCCCAACCTCTGCTTCATCTATGAACTGCCGGAGCAGGTGAAAGGGCCAGGCTTGCAGCTCCAAAGCTGCAGGACCTCCATGACACAGAACAACAACAGGGTATCAGACAGGAGACCCAGTGAGGATCCAATATTAATGTGTAGCAGAAGTCAGAGGCCTCAAACCAGACCGAAGACTCATTGCAAGGAACATAGGCAGGTAAAGATGCATGGACAAAAGGGTATACTGTGGAACACACTGTAACACACTACAGCTTCTATGACGAGATGTTTCTTATGTTTTGCTTTGTGTATCTTTTTAATTTTTGTTTTTGATTTTCTTTTGTGGGGTGGGGGAAGGTTGCCAGGGAAGGGGCTGGATACAAAGGGACTGGAGATGAGTGGGACTGGAGTGCATGATGTGAAATTCACAAAGAATCAATAAAAATTAAAAAAAAAAAGATTTTCTGAGCTTAATAAGTCCCCACTATAAGGTAAAATATCACCAGCAAGATGAAGTTTCTCCCTGGGAAGGCTGAATTGCTGGAAAAGACACGGGTTCATTCTTCACTGTGTCCAGCAGGAGTGTGTACACATGGTGCCATCTGCCTTCACCAGGGGCCCCCGGAACTTCAGGTCATAGTGGAAGGAATTCTCTATAACCCCCATGTTTAACTCCTTTGTGTGATGAATGAATAAATGGAGGTTTGGAGAGGGGTTAAAGCGTTTCCCAGGAAGCTACTAAGGCATATGAGGACCAAATATGGTGGTACAAGCCTATAATTCCTGTGCTTGGGATACTGAGGCAGGAGGATCTCAAATGGAAAGTGAGCCTGGGCTGCATAGCAAAACCTTGTCTTTACAACAATCGATGCCTGGGCTGGTAAGATGGCTCAGCGGGTAAAGGCAGTCACCACCAATCCTGATGATCTAAGTCATACTCCCAGGACCCACGTGGTGGGAGAACAGATCTGACTCCTACAAGTTGTCCTTTGACCTTTACATTTGAGCATACATACACACACTAGATAACTGAAGAGATGAAAACCCCAAAGGCTGAGGCCAGGTGTGGTGATACACTTCTGTGACCCCAGCTCTTGGAATTGGAAGGTAGAGCCAGGAGGCACACACATGAAGCCATGTACAAGGACAGATGGGGAAGTATGACCATCTGGGCATCATTCCATTCTGGTCATCTGACACTGATGGAACTTGCAGGAGCCACCTACAGTAGGCAAAATGCTTTCAGGTCCCTGTGGCCAACCAAACTAGTTCGCCCAAGATGGAGACCCTTCCTTCAACAAAAGACTTTCGGTGTGAAAACTGGGAGAATCTGGCAAGCAGTTGAACTTCTTAAAACCTTACAAATGAGACAATATTTCCACATGCATCTTAAAGATAGAAAATCTGAGGTTTAAAAATATCCCATGACTTGCTAAGATCTCACAGGACATAAACAACAGAAGCAGAATTGGGACCTGAAAGAAACTTGACCTCTAGAGCCTGCTAGCTCAACCACCGAGCTATTACAGCTTCTTCAATGATGAAATATTGAGAAATTTGACTTGCAAGATTAATATATATGTGAGAAAGTTGCTTGTCTGCTGGGGAGAGGGTTTAGAGTATTCATAAGGTTTTTTGAAAGAAACCAGGGCCAGCCGGGCACTGTGGCACACGCCTGTAATCCTAGTACTCTGGGAGACAGAGGCAGGTGGATCTTTGTGAGTTCAAGGCCAGCCTGGTCTACAAAGTGAGTTTAAGACAGACAAAGCTACACAGAAAAACCCTGTCTCGAAAAAGTGAAAGAAATAAAGGAAGAAAGGAAGGAAGGAACCAGGGCTTTATACAGGCTGACAAGAATTTTGGGGTGGCACTGCAAAGGCTGTCATGCTGGGTTCACTTCCCCTTTGCTCTAAAGACAGAAAGTGCTAAGCTGTGGGATCAGGACTGGACACATTCCCAGGATAACAATGGAGGATGGGTTGCTGGGGTAGGTCTGGAGGGTTGTGAAATCTCCCTGAAAGTGTTTGTGAAGGGGAGGAGCCCCATTTAGCTGCCATGGCTCAAGTTTGACCTGAATGACGGTATTTGGGATATGACTTCTTGAGGACCTTAATTTGGGGAAGCAGGAAGCAGCTTCGAGCTTTACCAACTAAGCAAGGCTACTTCATCTTCTGCTGGTTTTGGTCAGCAATTAGCAGATGGCTTTGGGAGTCCCAGTGGGACTGGCTTCCCAAAATCCACCGTGTAAGCTAAGATTCCCTGAGTGCTGACAATCTGAAGCTCAAAGCTTCATGTGGAAGAACAAATTTCATTTTTAAGATCGCCCTAGAAGGTAGATATCTTCTGTCGGTATCGCCACTTGGCTGGGTAAACTGAGGGTTGCTCACCAACTGGCCAAATTCCCTTAGCTATGTGTGAGAACTGGCCGGGGGATGCGAGTCCAGGCAGTTAGATGATGGCTACTATTCTACAAACCCTTGTTGCTGACCTCTTCAGCCATTTCAAACTCTGTAGCCTAGCTGAGGACTCCTGATCTCCCCGCCGAGTCTCAAGGGAAACTCGAAGCGTCCCCCCTCCCACTTGGTACTTACCCTGTCTGTGACTCTCCTCTGGGGACATTACAGTCATCAGCACGGTGGCAGAGATCATCACGCCTGCATTGAAAATGGAATGTGATGATGTAATTATATTATAATATCAAAAATTAAAAAAAAAGTTATTTTCAAAAAATGAAATGTGAAAAGGCAGAAGGAGAACAAGGCCCCTCCAAGCCCCAGCTTTGTGTGTTACCTCTTGGAGTCAAGGTTACTGGGAACACAACTCCTCAGTCTATTTGGGAAGCAGGGCATTTCATCTACAGGAAGAGAATGATACCTTGGCCTTGGTGTATGGATTCTGCTTGACATAACTGTAGCCATCTTGAGTCATATAACTACCATGATTGTCAATTAAGAGTAACCCTAGTTGTTCAAACTATAAATGAACAAAACTGTTATAATTGGAGCCTGACACCTTGATTGTGGCTTTAGAGTAGTGCTTAGATTTGGCATTCGCTTAAGATAAACCAGATACATTCCAGCTAACACAAATACTTTCGGACTCAAGTTACAGGTATCTAACTGGTCTTGTTGCGGCCAGGACCACATGGCATCACCAATTAAAAATGCTTTATTTTAAATCTAGCAATAGAGTTTACATATTAATACTATAATGGGGTGATTTGTTGTAGGTTTTTGAAATTTAAAAAAATATTTATTTATGTTAATATTTTGTGAATCTGTAGATGTCAGAAGAGGCCATTGGATCCTGATATTGGACTTAGGGATGATAGTGAGCCACCATGTGGGTGCTGGGAATCAGAACTAGATTTGATTTGAACAACAAGTACTCTTAACTACTGAGCTAATTCGTTGGTTTTCCTTTTTTTTTTTTCTCCAGTCAGGGTATCTCTGTGTAGCCTTGGTTGTCCTGGACTCACTCTGTAGACCAGTTTGGCCTAGAACTCAGAGATCCACCTGCCTCTGCCTCCCAAGTACTGGGATTAAAGGCCTGCATCACCATGCTGGGCCTCCTTGATATAGGTTTAAACAGAAGGAAAAAGATTGGGGTGGGGTTGGGGAAATTGAGTTTATAACCTTCTCCTTCCCAAACAAATTTCTTTTAGAAGAAAAAAAAATGACTTTTCCTAAGTGGGTCATTGCCACAAATGTATCCAAGGACTGTATCTGGTTCCTACTGCACTTATGGTCAACAGAATTTGTTTTTAAAGCTCAACTTCACAACCACTGCCTCAAAGGAAGATCACACATTGGACTGTTATGAAATACAAAAATAGAAATAGTTCTTGCTGCTTCCATAGTCGAAAAGTTGAATTCACATATTCACCACATATACAAAAATAAAGTTAAAACTATGACAGAGTTGAAACTAGAAAAAAAAAAGCCAGCTTTATGCATTTTTCATGACTCATATCCTTTTACCAATATTCCCTTTCACCTAATACCAACCTCTCTAGATCTCTTTTCTAGATTTTAGACTATACCCACATTCACATCTGTTTACATAAATCCACTTACACATCAGGCTGACATTTGCACACCCACACACCCCCACTAATTTACCCTGTAATTCTAGATCTGCTTTGCCTTTTTTTTCCTTTGTCTGATGGTACCTTGAAGCCAGCTGTAATAGATTAGGACTTGATTGTTCTGGAATATCTGGAAAAGAGTGGCTCCCAGCCCACCCTAGGCAAGCCCCTGGTGCTTCCTGTTCACTTTGCTAGGTAGAATTGATGTCCCACACAACATCTGAGTGAGCATCGGATAAGCCAT